TCTGTCGATTGCCATAAGCGAGAAAACGATCGGCAACCGAGTATTCTTTCACAAGGTCGCGCCCTTATTTCAACTCTTTCAGTACGTGCAAACCTTATGGCTTTGGTTTTTCATTATTAGACTGTTCTATAAGGTTAATGTGTCGAAATGACATGAAAGAGAACGTGAAAAAATAACCTATTTTATTCTGCAAGAGGGAAATAGATTTTCCATATGCCTAGCAGACGTCCGGTCGCTAAATTTCCATTTTTTGAGCTCAGCACTGACATACATTTCAGTGGTTGAAATCCCCGAAGAGAGAAAATCGGTCAGCTAAATCTGTCATTAGCTGATGGTCTATTATTAGGATGAAAAATGAAATATAAAAAATAATTTCTCGAATGCATAATCCGTATCTTATTTGATTGATAAACAAGTGCCAATTTTCGCTTATTCGCCTCCTTTGGCCGTATTCTGTAACATAAGTAGGAAATGTACCTGTACCTGCGCTCGCAACCGCGTATATGTTTCAAACCTGTGATCCCCCGGATTTTAAACCATCTTATTTTATGCGAGATGTTTAAAATTATAGCTCTTATAGCATTATGATCTAGGCCAAGATGTCGCCGGCGCCTCGAAAGAAAGTCCAAAGCATTTTCCAAGAAAAAACTTTCTGCAGATAACCTTACTTTCACTAAACGTCAAATAGCGTGTAAACATTAGGTCTGTTTGTTATCCTCCACTAGTGCACAATAGTTTACACTTTTCTGCACTGAGGCGTTTGTTATGAGGTTAGTGCAAATTGTGCCAGGCGTCTTTTATTTCAGTGTAGGGTGCCCAATCTTGCACTACTTACACCTGCTCAAGAGGAGGTGTAATAAGTGCAGAATGGGGAGGGGGCAATAACTACTGAAGCTGTCTTCAGAGCTTGAAGATAGGGAATCTTTATCTTCCCCTATAATTTCCAACAATTAAACCTTATAAATTAAATTTTTTTCATAATACACATTTTTTCTCGGTCAGTTTCCACTTTAATTTTCTCAATAATTTTTTGAGGTTAGAGAATTATCCGCTCCTATCGCTGCCTGAATCCTGGCTTTTGGGCTTTGGATCAAGGTTGTTTAAGGACCGAATTTATAGTCGGTCCTTGAAGTTTCCTCAGACCTCAAGCAAGCTTTGAATATTTAGAATTAACATGACTAACATATGACTAGCTTGTCAAATAGTAGCAAGTGTCTTTTCTTATTCTAAACTCGCGACTCCTAGGAAGATTCAAGGAATGACTATAAATTCGGCCATAAAAGGGGTAGGTGGTAGGTTGCCTGGTGGTAGAGTTGACGATAGTGATAAAAAATAATATCGATAGTTTCGATAATCATGGTGGTGAATATCGAAACTATCGATAATTTATCGATAGTTTGAAACAAATAAAAAATTATTGATATTGTTTTATTTTTTTTATGGAAAGAAACATTATCGTATCAAACCTTGATATTAGAAACTACCTAAAACCAAAAAGAAACAAGAACTCAAATTGGTAACTTCAAATAAATAACCTATAGCTCTGTTCCGACCGACATGAGAACCGTTCTAGAACGGTTATTTCCAGTCGATCAATTCATTTGTCAAGTAAGTCAAGCGTTCAACTTATTGAAAAATAGGTGGGCAACTGGATATTACTGGTTCTGGAACGGTTCGAATGTCGTTTGAAACAGAGCTATTGTATTCAAACTAAACTAATGAGTCGCCGCTCGAGAGTCTGTTGTTTGTCTCTGTCTAATTTCTATCGTAGATTACACCGGGTGCAATGGCGCAGTCAGTCCTGTGTACCGTGCACCCCAAACCCCGTTGACCTAACCTATTTTACATTCAAAATTAGGCAATCCAACGACCTGTCCAAATGGCGTCTGGTTGGCAAACAATAAACAAAAAACATATGTTTTTTTTTTGGCAGGATTAAGCCTAGTACTCATAACAGCGAAATTCGTTCTTTTTTGACATAGCTTCGACAATTTGACGTTTTATGCGTGAATCAAACGGCAAATTGTCGAAGCAATGTCAAAAAAAGAGGGAATTTCGCGGTTATGAGTACTAGGCTTTATCAATACACGGGGCGAGTTTTGTGATCTGACACTTTTCTGACATCGTTGACATCTAACAACCCGTATTCTAACCTCATAAAAATTTCAAAATGCCGGCTGGTTGGCAAAAGTCACGTGGTTTGGATTCCCTAATTGGAGCAGTTGAAAATAGGAGATTCTGTATAAAATTATATGAGATTGGATAATAATATATGAGAATATTTTATGTACTGCAAAATTCCCAAATCCGAAAAAGCTCCCATCTTGACAATAAGCTATCATTTTTAGCAGATTTTGAAATGTATTGCTGGACGACATTTTTTTTTCTCCCACCTCGATGACGTCATAAAGTTAAGGGGTAACCAACCTCTCTCAAACAACCTTGGATTCTGCTGAACGATTCGTAGACCGTTTGTAAAACATGTTTGGTTTTAACACAAATTCAACGTAGCGTTCAGCAGAACATTCGCAAAGCGTTTTACTAACGTTTGTATCTGGTGAACGCGCCCTTATAATTGAATATTTTGACAGCTTTAACATTTCAAAACTGGTACATCAGTAGCGTACAAACTGTTTTTTTTTTTTTTTTGATAAATATGCCAGATTTGCAAATGCTTTCTGTCACCTTTCCGTTATTAAGGCCGTTTTACAGCTTGTAATTGTATCTGCAATATGCAAGAAACTTGAACGAAGGCATGCGCAGAAGTGACTCAGCTGATTGTTTTCTGCAAGATTCTTGAAGCTTGAATGGCATTGCATGCGATCGGTTTGGTGCCATTTTTTTTTGGAGGGTTTTCGCGCAAACTGGGGAATTTTTAGCAATTATGATGCTTGAAGTGGCTGCTATTGCTTTCTTCTTTTTAAATCGACTTATAATAACTTTTTTCATTTTTGCAAAATGCAAACATCAACAACACAAAATTAAAAACAAAAAATTATGGTTAAGGTTAGAGAAGGAAATAAGTCAAATTGCAAGGTGTAAAACGACGTGCAAGAAATCTTGAATGCAATTTTTTTGCGTGCAAAGAGTTGCATTCAAGTTTTCTTGCAAGCTGTAAAACGGCCTTTATATTCTCGTTTCTGCAAATAGGGGCCGGGTTCGTTTTTGTCATCTTTTTCGTCGATTCGCTCCGAAATTTTGACAGGCACGTGATTTGTAAACTGAAACTGGTCTTATCCAGTCACGTGCCTGTCAAAATTTCGGAGAAAATCGACGAAAAAGATGACAAAAACGAACTCGGCCGATAGAGCTGCAAGTCGGCGATAGGCAAATCTCCAAATTTGAGAAAATAATCACAACTTGAAATGATTGTTTCGAATGTAGACAAGTACTTCCTTTTATAGTTGTATTCCTTTCAAGAGTATGAAACACTCGAGCTACTCGCTCCGGTGCTCAGTCGCCCCCGATTTGCAGGGAACGGGAACAGATGCGTGGTGCAACAAACATTTTTCGAAAGGAATAAGCGCGTGAAGCCCCGGAGCTGTTCCGGAGCTCCTCCTAGGTGTGAAAGGAATACAACTATTATGATTATTGAAATTATGCATTGAAGAAACATAATAATTTTATGTAAGATTGAATCTTTGCCATTATTTAGAATTGATGTTTTCGCGCCTTAATGACGTATTAAGTCCTGCGGAATTTTTCCTATTGGTCCAAATTATTTGAAATTATAATGGCGGGAAAATCTCGCGAATTGAAAACATTCGCGGCATCGCAAAAAAATTGAAATATTTTTAACTTTTTGGCGAATAACCTTGCATAACCTCACTTTCTAGATTATTCATCGAAAATTTGAATTATTTTAACTTTTTTGCGATGCCGCAAGAAGTTGAAAACATTCGCGAGATTTTCCCGCTATTATAATTTCAAATAATTTGAACCAATAGGAGAAAGTCCGCAAATTGCATTTTGTGAATGAACTCTGTTTACTTTTTTATTTTATTGACTTCATTAGTGTTTCTTTCAATTAAAAATGCCACAAACGTGACTTGTAGTTCGTTGTGGAAATAGTTTCAACAAGGTAACAAGGATGATGTCAGGTTTTTTTCATCGCCCACCACTATTTCAAACTTTTCCAATTAGCACGTGAAGATTATTCTGTACCACTGTCAATGATGCATCCAAAATAAAGCCATAATCGAAATATTCGTAAGAATCTAAGGTTTTGTAGGCCTTCATTTGCTCATTGCTGTAAAAACTCTAGATCAAAATGTAAACAAATGTCACCTGGACATTTTTTCAAATTTACCGTTCGCCCACATCCCGATTTTCCTGCATTAAAGTCTTTAATACTCTTTAAGTATGCATTCTGCATCTCGAAAAGTATACTATAACAAAATAAACTGTAATTAGCTCGAAAATATTCCGAATAAATTCAAGATAAATAAAAAAACGTCAAATTTCCCACAGCTGCCCAGCTGCCATATTGAAAAATCGTGGTTTGGAGAGCTTAGAACAAAAACCCTGAAAAATAGGCAACCAGATATACACTTTTCATTTCCGCACATGCACATGTTTTGAATAGACTCGTTTTATCGGCAAATTGAATATATTTTTTTCTAACTGATTAACGAATGGTCGATAATATTATTGTTACGTAAATTTTATATTGTATTCAGGCATTTTAAAAACTCAATAAAAAAAGGCGGAACGGTCCCATTCCGTTTTTAAATTTTCCGAAGGCATCCACTCCATGAATGCAGGTGAGGAGACTTTTTTCTTTCGTTATGGTGATCGAATTCCTGGCGATTGTGTCATCATAATGTGTGTGTCAAATTTTTTACCAACAACAAAAGGTTAAAGTTATCCTAGGATCGTGTTCGTTTTTGTCATCTTTTTCGTCGATTTGCTCTGAAATTTTGGCAGACAGGTGACTGGATCAGACAATTTCAATTTACAAATCCCGTGCCTGTCAAAATTTCGGAGCAAATCGACGAAAAAGATGACAAAAAGGAACACGGCTCTAGAAGAAACTCAACGCAATCGCCACAAATAATTTACTTATATCTATATATACCTAACATGAGTATTTTTCCACTTAAAAATTAACCAGAAATCTGGTGACGTAATTCCTGTCACCAGCACCTCATGACAAGCTGAAAAATTGTATCTTCATTTTATGTAAAAATTTTGTATTATTTCGCTTAACACGACGCGAAAAAAATGAATAATTCTGTTCTAAACCAGTCTGATCCGGATGTTTATGGTAAAGTCAAAATCGAATACCACGATCCTACTGATACAAGAAGGATGATTTCGCAGACGTTTTCTTATAAAGAAAATAGTGGCGAAGAACCACTGCTGAAAGCACGCAAAATTCTCAATCATGTCGAAAACAGTGGCAATAATTTGCCACGCATCGCTATCAAGCGAGAAATTAACGGGGAAATGAAGGGACAGGTGATATTTGGAAATAAAAAAATGCAATTTTTTAAGACTGTAATTTCTTACTTGCAGGTTATCGGATTAAGCTACGGTTGGGACAATAAAAAGTTCAAATATCCAGAAATAATGTCCAACTTCCAAACTGGAAACATTTCGGCTCTTCAACAGACGATTTCAAGGGGCGGCAGCGGGGATATCGGCAATTCGGTCAGTCCTAGTCCAAGGGGTTCGGATAGCGGCATCGAATCGGATTACGCTGACTTAAACCTGTCCTGGTTGGTGAATTATAAGATCCGGGAACTTCCTCCTTTTCTGGGTAAGTTTATTTCTTATATTTTTTTTTTTTTGTGCGCGACACAATAACGCAAATGGATAATTTGTGAATTATTTGTTTGTTATTTTTTTTTTGTCTTGGACACGTGGTAACCATAGTTTTTACGTGTACCTATACAAAAGGTGCAGCTAGACAAAACTATTGTTTCCTTTTGCGCCAATTCCGTCCTTTGCGGATGATCCCTTTGCCTCTTCATAGACCGTCAGCTAATGACATATTTTGCTGACTGATTTTCTTTTTGCTGGGATCTTATCCACTGAAAATTATGTCAGTGTTGAGCTCAAAAAATGAAAATTTACCTACTTGACGTGTGCATAGGCAGGGCCGTAGCTAGAGTCAAATTCGTGATAGGGCATGACAAATTTGACATAGGGCATACACTACTTGCCCCCTCTCCCTTAAATTATAAGTAAACAATCTGGTGGTAATGGCGCCGAAGGCAAATTTTCAATAAATAACATCTCTGGCAATTAAACAGAATGTCGCTGATTCTCGCGCCGACTTGGAACTTTCGCACCAAGGATAATACACACTAATAGTGAAATCCCTTGGTAAGTTCAATGCCCACTGAGTACATTCGTGTCCTCTTCTACTAGCATGATGTAAAAGAAAGTGACAGAAATACAGGGGCGCAACCAGTGTTGCCAACTGATGGGATGTGGAAATACCTAGATTTGAAAAAAAATATCCCTAGAATTCCCTAGAATTAATTTTTTTCAAATTCATTTTAGAATTATTATAACAGCCTTATAATAATTGTAATATGTAATGTATACTTGCAATTTAAAAGAAAATAAAATCATATTTTCAAAACTAATCGCAATAATCTTCAAGTTTTTTAAAAACAACATAGAATTTCCAAAAGCAATAAAACATTGTTATGACGTCACTGGTGGGGTGGCGACAATAGCTTTGTTTTGGTTTGAAATTTGGAACGGTTCCGGGATTGCGCAGAACTGCTCTCGCACAAAAAATAATTGAGGACTGTTCTAATACGAGTTCTGAATCGATTCGGAACCAAAAAACCAAAACACGCTGCAAATCACAAAATTCTAAAACAGTACCTCCTTCAGAGCAAGAACTGGGAGAACAGTTCTAGACCATCCCAGAATTGTTCTTGAATAGTTCTAGATAAACCAAAACACTCTTAAAACAGTTCGATTACGATTCTGAAAAAACGAAAACGCGTTTTATAATATGCGCATGTGCAGAAGGATTCCGAACTATTTATAGTCCTGAGTGAAACCAAAACAAAGCTAGTGACGACAGACTGTTAACAACTTCTTCTTCTAATTCGACGCGATTGTTGCGGGAATCCCCACACACATCACGATACACGAAAGACAAAGAGCATTTTACAACATACAAAAATGATACTGTTATGTGTTACTCAGACGAACCAATAATAAGGTCACTTCCGATTTTTTAAAAGAATATGTAATACTATGTATTATATAATTATTTTTTTAGAATTTATTAAATTGAATAGGAAAAATTAAAAATATCAGAAAACTCCCTAGAATTTCCCTATATCCCTAGACAATTTTTTTTGCTTATTTATCCCTAGAACTAGGGACAAATCTCTAAAGTTGGCATCACTGGGCGCAACTAGCTTATTGGTTTTGGGGGGGCTTGAGCCCCGGGTCTCTATAAGTCGATTTGGTGACAGTACCTAGGTATATGATGTTTTTCAAAACTTACTACAGTACGTATTTCACAAATGCCTGAATTTGACGGAAATACTCTAATATAAACTTTGTTCTTCGATATAATCTACGTTCTTAGTTGAAAAAAAAAAAACAAGGTTATAAAAGACATTTTTATGTATATTACTGTAAATGCCCGAAATTCGGTAAAACCTAGGATAAGCGCGCTAAATCCGAGATTTACCAAAAGCAAGTAGTAAAAGCCCGAAAATTAGTTATTTTGCTTTCATTTCGGACTTTTACCGGAGCCAAACAGTAAATCTTAGCATTTACCACACCGAATTGGTAAAAGTACGAATACCACTGATACGATACGTTACAAAACCTGGAGATGTTCCATCTCAGGCAATTAGCGTAGGAAGTGCAGTGCGAAAATTGTCGTTATGTAATGGCCAAGGATTTAAGAAATGCAAATGCATAAGAAATGTTCTACCAAAAGATGTTTGTGCAGATCCTCTAAAATACTCTGCAATTCTAAATGCCATGGAAGTTTGCCCTGTACCAATAAATAAATATTTCTATTAGTGGACATTTTAATTCATTTATTTCATTTGATAAATACCTACATAAAAGGATTTTTTCTTTTAATATCTAAGTAAAGTTTTTCCAATTGGAACAAGGTGAACATAAATCATAGCTGGTGGCTGACTAGTTAGTGGCAGTGCATTTCTTATGGAAATTTTCAGTGACCAGTCAGTGACCAGTTGGAATTGGTACCTTGTTCCAATTGAGTTTGGAAATACTATATATGCTTTTCACTTATTATTGGCGTAGCATTATCCATGGAAATTTGACAGGTTGACCCTCGTATAATAATGACATTTAATGACAAAATATTTTTCAAATTTCAGGGTTATGAAACAGAAAGCCGAGTTGCCAGAATGTGTAAAATATCTGAGTAAATTCAAATAGTAAAATTATTCAATTTAATAATTAAACGTAACCATAACAGTAAGCTCAATAGTATAATAGTTATTTATGTATCAAGGGTACTAAGTAGATGATTATGCCCCGAGAGCGACAGTCTTACAAAGCCAAGGGCCTCTGGCCCGAGGGTTCGTAAGTTGCCCGAGGGTATATATCTATTAGTACCCGTGGTGCATACAAACTTTTATGTCATGCCTGCGCGGGCCATAATGTGTACTTTATGCCCGCGCGGGCCATAATGTGTACTTTATGCCCGCGCGGGCCATAATGTGTACTTTATGCCCGCACGGGCATAAAGTAATGAATTATATAGATGGTATCTAAGGTATAAAAACACAATAATGTACTGGTATGACATAATAGCTATTTATGTATCAAGGGTACTAAATAGAGGATTATGCCCTGAGGGCGACAGTCTTACAAAGCCGAGGGCTTCTGGCCCGAGGGTTCGTAAGTCGCCCGAGGGTATATACAGGGTGTATATTTTAAGTGATACCACTATTGCTATATCCAAAACGGTAAGAGCTACAGGGTCGGTTAAATTAGAAAAAAGTTGCCTTATTTGATGCCCATTTAAGACTCGTTTACAGAGTTGCCAAATTCCTTTTAGTTTATGAAATACAGGGTGATTTCTAAGAAACGTCCAAAAATATTTCATCATTTATTTCGAAAACTATTGATTTTCGAGACACAATTTAAATTTGAAAGTTTTATAATTTTTTTCGCTCTACAACATGACATCTTCAAATTTCAAATCCGATGTTTCGTGATGGAAATACCATCATCAACTTCATTTTTTTAAATACGGACCTGAATTTTTTATTTCATTTTTAGGAAGTGCCCTTAATTCTCTTTCCAAAAATGACATAAAAAATACAGGTCCGTATTTAAAAAAAATAAGTTGATGATCGTAGCTCGATCACGAAACGTCGGATTTAAAATTTGAAGATGCCATATTTTAGAGCGAAAAAAATTATAAAACTTTCAAATTTAAATTGTGTCTCGAATATCAATAGTTTTCAAAATAATTGATGAAATAATTTTAGGCCTTTTTTATAAATCGCCCTGTATTTCATAAACTAAAAGGACTTTGGCAACACTGTAAATAAGTCTTGAATGAGCATCAAAAAAGGCAACTTTTTTCTAATTTAACCGACCTTGTAGCTCTTACCGTTTCGGATATAGCCACAGTGGTATCACTTAAAATATACACCCTGTAGATTAATTATGGCTTTTTTGGAAATGAAACTACCAAATCGGCAATGCCATATTTGTTAGGGCTTTGTTAAAGAAAATGATAATAAATTACACAGTGGAATATTCGATGACGCATTCCGGAATTATCACCTGGGTAAAACCTCGTGTGACACCCTGTATAGATACCCTAATAGCACAGAAACGTTTCAGAAACGTATCCGATCGGATGTCAGAACGTTCTAAAAACGTCAGTTAAAGTGACTGAGAATGTCCAAAAGACGTTTATGTTTAGAGCAAATGTTACAACTTCAAACGTCATGGAAGTCGAAAATGGACGTGAGGTTTTAAAAATATCTTAAATGATACGTCTAAAGATAATCTTTTTTACACCTTTTTGAAAAACACTCTGAACATTACCTACTTACTTAAAAAACACTCTTAAGACGTTTGCTGTTGTTGGTTTTAAAAACGTCGTACGTTCCTACAGTAGTTTCCGACGTTTCTACTTTAAACTGACTTTGAAAAAACGGCCATCGTACTATGCACTATGCTATTAGGGTAAGTAGGTACCTTCATTTTCAATAAAATGATTAGTTTTTTGTTAGTTAAAGTTAAAATGCCCACTGTGCTCTTTTAATTGTTCAATATGTTGACACCTATTCTATAATAATAGGTATAATTTGTCCGCTGTTCGATTTATAGTTCCTAATTGTCGTTGGTTTTATTCACTATCAATTTTTTTGTGATGTATGGTATGAATTTGCCGCCCCTGGATCGTGCCGCCCACTTCGCGCCCCCCTTAAGCCGGCCCTGTCCGTGGATGGTGGCTGCGAAGTTATAGTTTTATTATAGAAGTTCTTACAAAACCCCCATGCCATTTCAATAGGATTATATTGGCAATGATAAGGAGGTAATCTAAGAACTTCATGTCCATGGCTTTTCAAAATGTCGTCAATTTTGTATTGTTTTGGTCTATTCCGAAATGGTTGAGTTAGGTCCCATAGTTGTTTTTTGGTCATTTTTGTGTCGAAGTCTACGTTATGTTCAACCAACCATTCCTGCATTTTGTCTTTCTTTGAAGAGAATGAAGGTGGTTTATCCTTCCGCTTTGAATGATATGGAGCGTTGTCCATGATTATTACACATTTCTCT